ATGATTTTTCGATGTAATTTCGGTATTATTTGTGTTTCTACCAGTAAAAGTTCCAGAAGAGATCCCTAACAATGTATCCATAACCATTTGTTGTATATATGAATTGTAATCCATTAGTTATAAACAATTTTCCATTTCATGTTCCAATATGAAATATCGGAGCAAATGATTCGTGCCACTTTGTACATAAGAGATAAAGTAAAATCCGGCACGAATTTTCTGCTGCTTTCAAACAGCCTAACAGCGCCACTTTCGTGCAGCGGCAAAACGCTCAAACTGTTCGCCAAGCAACAGTTCTCTGCAATTCGCCGCGCGGTAACACTGCGTGCGCGCGACATCTATCGGCGAGTATTGATTTAAGTTTCCGCCTCAGACTTGGGACACCCGCCGACAGATGTCGCGCGCACGCAGTGTTACCGCGCGGCGAATTACAGGGAACCGTTGCTTGGCGAACAGTTTGAGCGTTTTGCCGCTGCACGAAAGTGGCGCTGTTAGGCTGTTTGAAAGCAGCAGATAATTCGTGCCGGATTTTACTTTATCTCTTATGTACAAAGTGGCACGAATCATTTGCTCCGATATTTCATATTGGAACATGAAATGAAAAATTGTTTATAACTAAAGGATTACAATTCATATATACAACAAATGGTTATGGATACATTGTTAGGGATCTCTTCTGAAACTTTTACTGGTAGAAACACAAATAATACCGAAATTACATCGAAAAATCATTGAACGAAAGGCTACGATCTCGAAGAACCACGACAATGGAAGATTTTAACAATTATACGATTTTAGATTATCAGCGATTAATTAATAGGTAATAGAGTAATTACCTGGTCAGTGTTTGGTGACAATACAATACGAGTCAACGTCAGTAGTACAACTCACCCGCAAGCCAGACAACGCAAATTAGAAAGGAAGTCAAACGTTGGGAAAGGGAAAAGGAAATGGAATGCATTTGGTATTGAGAAGGAATGTTTGGGAAAATGTATAAATGAAAAGACGTATAATGTCACACATTACAAGAGTTCTTATTTTATTTTACAATCAGTTTATAATAATGAAAGGGAGTCAAAACGAAACTGGTAATTCGTTGTGGCACTCTTTCTTACAACGACGACTTACTTAACTAACAATAAGATGTGCGCACGTATCCGATATGCTCGGATTCGCTGAGTACAATTATGTGTAAAAATTAATGTTAGAACTGACAACAATATCGTAGACATTAAGCAGAAATTATCTATATTTAAGGCAAACAGTGGTAAGAATAGAATCGTCGTTAGTCGGTATTTATACCAAGATCTTATAGAGGTTTGCGAAGAATTAGTAAGACGAATGACTATTACAGAATGTGCGAATTTCGATCGGGGAAGCTGCTAATTATAGAACTTAGAGACAAATGCGCACGAGTATGAGACTATTAAACGATAAAAGTTTATTTTGTGTGGTGCATAACTTTCAGATTCCCCCGAGAAGTCGACCAGTTTCGAGCAAATTGATAGCGAACGATATCGAAGGAAAGACTGCGAACAAGCGTTCGGAAATACGCTCGTTCAATTACTCGTCGGAAGAGATTGTTCAAGTTAGAATGCAAAATACAAGCATGACTGAAAATGGTGCTACGAGGTTGATTTATTCTGTTCACCTAGGTGGAAAACCTGTACCTGCTGAAACAGCTGCCAGAGACATGGCTCTTTTGTCACCGCAGGAAGTTGCATTAGAACTCGGTGCGCCGGTTCTTATACAGAGCGAACGTAAGTATCCTACAGTAACATTGTTTACATAAATACGAACATAAAAGGGAAAGAAAAAAATTGTGTAAACTCTGAATAACCAGATATTCTGATCTAACACCTACCCCCGTTTTCTGTATGCAGCATATTTGAAAGAAACTCGTCCTTTGGCGCTTTCAAGGAAAAGAGACGCATGGCTATTAATTGGAGCAGCCAGTGCCGGTTTCGTTCTCTTGTCGATCCTGCTTGTAGGATTAATATTCACAGCGAAAAGGAAAAGGTCGCACAGTGCGGTAGCAGCACCGCCGAATCGTAGCATTTTAAGGAAAAAACCAGATTACGTGTCGACGACCAATGGTCGCGATAACGGTGTTTTTTCAACGTCGGAAATAGATGTTAAGGTAAGCTTGTACATCCGCTGTTACGCGCGCTTGTTGTGGTTAAATTTCTTTCAAATTCCATGACTTTCGTCGTTTCTCGCAGACTGAAGATAGCAGCCAAAGTAACACCCCAGGAAGTATGCCAAGGACTCCAACTATTCCTGAAGCTACCGACACTTTCGACGTAGGAATTCATAAGGTTTCTAGCGATAACGAAGACGAACAGAAAAGAAGGACGCACGAGCCAAATAAAAACACGTTCGAGGAGCATTCTTCGAAACAGACAAGGTACGAAGCGAGCAAATATTCGAGTATCGATCTCTTATCTACCTATCGACCCTTGTAGCCGTTAACGCGGGGTGCCCACCGTATTTGGACTATACCGTTCGTATAACTCGAGCTGTTGCATCGTTGCTTTTATAGACTGACGCACGGAAGAGTATTGCGAACAAACGCGGTGGATATGCCAAGGACATCGGATTCGACGTACGTCATAGCCGATCATTTAGAAGCACTAGAGTCTTTGGAAGCCAATTACATGAGGCACGAAGAAGACAAAGAGGAAGAAGAAGCTAGTGCCTCGCCCCACTCTTACCTATCCATGCCAAATTGTAAACAATTTCCTAACATGAAGAGCGTCGAACCTCTTTCTAGGGTATTGGAGCCAGTTATGGTATGCAGCAAGTTGTCTTTCTCGACAAAAATATATACATTTGTATACAGGAATGTGTGTGCTTAAGAAAATTTTCTTTCATAGGTCAGGCATTTGGATATAGATTCTCCAGAACTAGAGAGACGAGACAATAACGACATCGATTCCTATAGAAGTAGTAAAATCAACGACAAATTCTTTGCACGAACTTCGAGTGCTATGAAAGATCCTGGAGTAGTTGGTCCTATAGTTTGGAATCTTCGAAGACAGACGCTATCTGCAGAGGGTATACAACACTCGATTCCTCTCTTTTACATATAGTAATAATAAAAGCTCTTGCACGAGGAAACTACCGTTTGTTTTATATAATCCTTGCCAAACCTCGGGGCAAAAATTACAATTATTTTCAGGCAATGGCACGTCGGAAACCGATGAAATAACATCCACGTCGGCTGGTCCTGTTGGACGAGCCAAGAGAAGGCTTCACGAGTTGCTAGAAGATTCGTTCAGTCTGTTTGGAAGCAGAGAACAGAATTCGGAAATGCAAACATGCGCTACGCAACCGAATTCGGCGGTGTACGTTCCCGATGTTCTTCCAATATTTTCAAAGACTAGGGGAAGATCTGTTCACGTTAGGTGCTTACAGTTTTATAGAACTCGTATGCTAATCTATCGTATTTTTTGTAATCTTGTTATTTGTATGTTCGTTGCATCGCTCAGTCCTGGATCCTCGCCAACGATGGAAATAGAGATACAACAGCATGCGTCGTTGCCTCGAAATAATATCGAAGAAAATGTTGCAGAAAATGGTCATTCGGGACCGGTTCGATCCCATGGTGGATGGAGCTCTAGACCATTAAGTGCTGGTCCATTTCATAGACCGAATGTACCGGACATTGATACCAAACGTATACTTTTACATTGTCAACTTCCACCCGAAGATCCTGCGGTTCCATTAATTGCTTCGATCAAGAAAGAACTTGAAAAATTTTCTTCTTAATGCCCAGTCGGCCGAGACTACTTCGACCAAAAACGTGTACGACGATTGGTGCCAAGGCACCGTTGAAAGAAGGCATTGCTCGGTATTTGGCATCGGAAGCTTGGCGCCAAATCGATGACAAATCTTCGCGGAATCTTGTAGATGCGGTAGCGCTACGCGGCTTGGCCTGTTTTTGGCATGGACACGACGTTGGTGCCAAATTCGTGCGATATGCAGAAACAAATGGCTCGGGATTTGACACAAATGCGTACTGTAAAATTCGTAACAAATTCAGGACAAATTGCTTGCTGGGTATTCGAGTATCGTGAAGAAATAAAATAAAAGAAGCCTAACGATTATTATTAAACAGTAAGTACTATTCGTCGCAATACGAGTTAAAGAAACATTTCAAAAGAACGCGTCGAATCATTTATAATACCGTGTAAATATACTGGAAATTTTTGTATGGAATAATCGTAATCAGAATTCTTTATACTCGACACTGTCCGTTTTTACCGAGCTCGTAACCGAAAGATCGTATAATTTTGCTATACTACAGTTGTGTCGCTATAACTTTGATATTTTAACAATTTTTCATGGCTATACATAAAAAAATAAGGAAAGTGCTATGAACTTTTTCATAATACTTAATTATGTTCGTTTTGTGCATTAATACTTTTAGATGAATAACGAGATCTTTAACGTTTCTAAAATTGGGTTGCTTTAGGTGCAATATATCGAAAAGTATTGAACATTCATGTGTCAAAAATGTAAGAAAAAATTTTGGCTATTTTGTAACAGTAAAAATAAATCGTATTTACCTAAAGGATAAGATTAATTAAGCAGATACAATCAACAACTATATATTCATGTCGCGTTTCTGTTATTTGGTACTATATTTGTATATTCATGACATACCTCTCTACCCATTTCATTGTACATACGCATTATAATTCACTATGACTGAATAAGTTGTAAGAAAACGTTAGAATTATAAATTATTTGTTACTTATTATTTTACTAA